TTTCAAACCTCTAAAAATTGTGCAACACAAGAGGTGGGACCCATTTGTAAAAGACACTATTTAGAGACAACAGAATGTTATGTATTAGCAATTTTCCTAGAACTACACCCAGGAAGTTATGTGCATATATATTACAAGACCTGAAGAGTAAAAATGAGACCAAATATTTCTAATCTTTCTCTATTATAAGTGATAATTCAATAAAATCTTATATACACACTTTTTAATATTTTCATCTGTTTGTATATACATCCTGCCATCTAATATTTCTTGAGTGCCTCTTATATACAAGCCACCATGTTAGGCACAAGGAATACAATTACACAGACACAGGTAAGATTTCTCCTTTCATAAAACCTGAAACCCATTTCCTCAGGATACTGCCCACTAGAAGAGCTATATCAATTTGCAATTCTACCAAACAGGTTAGAAGAGTGCCTATTTGCTCACACCCCAAACAAAAGGGACAATGTTGATATTTGCCAATGTGATAGATAAAAAATTTAATTTCACTGTTGTTTTAGAATGTATTTTTTTATTGGAAGGAGCAAACATCTCTGTATTTTCACAGAAAAGTGCAGCTTCTTCATTTACAGCACTTTTTCCCCCACTTGATAATATAGGTTATATTTTTAATCTATGACATAACCATACATCTGCTGAGCTTAAATTAGTAACTATAACCATCAAAATGACAAAAATGATTGAGTTCTACAGTGAGTTCCTTACATGCATCATCTCTTTTAATCACTACAAAACCTCATAAAGTAGTATTATTTTTCCATTTCAGCCCACTAGTTTGTAATTTTAAAGTCTATAAGGGCAGAATCTGTATTTACTTTGTTCACTTTTGCAGTTACATATAGAGTACGAACAGATCTTCAAAAGAAATTGCAAAGTAAGCATGATTATTGTGGACATTTTTTTTTTTAAATCCTCACCCAAGGATATTATCCTATTTATCTTCAGATACAGTGGGAGGGAGGAAGGGAGGGAAAGGGACACCAAGAGGAAGGGGGGGGGGAGAAAGAGAGAGAAACATCAATGTGAGAGAGACACATAGACGGGTTGTCTCCCACACAACTCCAGCCAGGGCCGGGGACCAAACTACAACCGAGGTATGCATCCTTGACTGGAATCGAACCCGAGACTCCTTGGTCCAAGGGCTAATGCTCTAATTGCTGAACCAAACTGGCCAGGGCTATTGTGAACATTTTATAAAAGAGGAAGCTTAGAAAGATGAAGCAGTGGAGCCAGGATTTAATTCTGTGCATCTTGGCCAACAACCCATGTTCTTAACCATTATCTATTGCCAAGGTAATTTTAAGACATCTGTTTAAAAAAAACTATAAAGAAAACTTATTTGCTATATTCTTTGTTATATTTCTGCTCTACAGATGTTTAATAACTTATGATTAATTTCACAAATATGTTGAAGATATATGTATTTTTAAAAGAGAAACATTAACAGGGATTAAAATCAAACAAGAAATGATTCACACACAAAATTGACGTACACAGTTCAACAACACCAAAATTGTAGGAGTGACTTTTAAATCTAAATTAAAACAACAAAAATAATAGGAAACATCTAAATGCTTACCAAATGCCATTTGTTCTAAATCATTTCACATATATTAGCTCATCTAATCCTCACAAAAGGCTTATGAGACCAATTCCTCTCTGTATGTTATCGATGGGTCACTTGAGGCACAGAAAAAAGAAATGTGCTTGAGGTCACACAGCTAATAAGGAAATTTAAACCCAGGAAGTCTGGCTCTAGAATTTGTGTTTTAAACTATTATTTTATACAAATAAGTTTATACTAAGTCACTTACATTATACTCAAGAGTCTGCACTTTCCAGAATAAAAACTACCTTTGCAATCCTAGCTTTTGACACTGACCATGGTTTCTGAATGTAGATTAGTGGATATAAACACAGTATTTTTTAAACAATGTATAGCTCTCAGATGAAAGTCTATATTGTATATCTATAAAGCTCAACACAATATAAATTGCTAAGATACACCAAAGTTATTTTAGGCCATGATAAGAAAATATACTTCAAATTTTCAGAAATTATACTAAAAGGAGTGAAAAAATCAAAGTTTAAATTTTAATTGCTATCATGGGACATTTAAAACAATAAGTTTTTCTATCTGTATTAAATTTTAATGTAACTAGAATCTATACTTTAACCACTTTATTACAGCAGCTTAGTGAGACTCAAAACCATACTTTGAAGTCCTAAGACACCATAAAAAAATCACTACATTTTCCAAGACTGGTATTTACAATATCCCTTTTAAGAATTTTCACTCCATTCTAAGCTTTGTAGAAATATTTAGAAGTATAATCAAGAGAAGAAATTCCTTGTCTCATGGCATGTTAATATCTTAGTCCCACTTCACTGGCCACATGCTGTGATTCTGATCATTCAGTGACATGGCTACTCTCTCTTCAAACTATTAAAGGCATATTTCTTACAACGCTTTCTAATATGCTGTATCTAACATAAGCATTAGATAAACTCACATATAGTGAAAATTACTATAATACATAACATTCTTTACATTAAAAAGCATATTACTCTGGCTAACTGAATAATACATGTTTTACAGCAATAGTTATGTTATATTTCATACTAAATACCCTATTTTTTAAAACTGACACTCATGTTACATAAATAAATTATGTACCTACACCAATGTAACTTGCATATTCTTATCAGAAAATCACCTTCAATGCTGACATTTTGATGTGTTTGAAAGATGCACTAGAATTAAAAGTAATTCAGTTTCTGTAAAAAGATACTAAATAGGTAAAATTTTTAAAGAACTAAATATTTTTAAAACATACTAAAGAATAAAAGCAAAACTAGGATGACAAACTAGTAAACTGAATTACATTTTCCTATACTTAATAGCAATGGACAATTGCAAGAAAAATATTATCATTTTTGCTACTTAGAAAAATGGATATTCTACATTTAGCCACAGTAGTTTTTAAGTACTGCTAAGAATATTGATCTGTAAAAACCAAAACAAAATGATTTTTCAAAATTCAATGATAACAATCAATAAAAACACACAAGGGTTTATACCCTTTAACTAAATATAGCATTAGGCAAAATAGAAGATTTAGTAATAAAGCAATTTAACAAATCTTATTTCATTTAGTCTTATTTCCAAAGAACCATATTCATCTTTAAATATTTATATTTAAAATATAAATATAGTCCGGCCAGTGCAGCTCAGTGGTTGAGCATCGACCCATGCACCAAGAGGTCACCAGTTCGATTCCCAGTCAGGGCATATGCCCAGGTTGTGGGCACACAGGAGACAGTCAATCGATGTTCTCTCTCATCGATGTTTCTCTCTCTCTCTCCCCCCCTTCCCGTCTCTCTAAAATCAATAAAGAAAAAGTATAAATAAATAAATAAATATAGTTTGGGGGCAGTTTCCAAAAAAACATGTATTAGTATTTATTTATATTAATAGTATATTAATAGAATTGCTGTATCATTTATAATCCCTAAACTATTAACTGATATTGGTATTAATATCAATATTTATCCAAAGAGTTAATTTTTTAAATTATATTTTTGGATAAGTCTTGATAAGTAATAAACTCAAGAGTCTTCTTCCTGACAAAGTATCTGGTTTACAGATATTCTGGGTTACCAATACTATTTCTTTCATCAAATCTTTTCTATTACTTAATGAAATATATATGTATTCCTATAAATAATCAAAAGTTTATCTATCTGTCCTTGGATTAAATCAGACTAATATAGAGCAAAATACCTAAACACTTGGGGTCCCAGATAATTGTTCTGACTAAACTGTAGTTTGTTATTAAGTCACAAACTCTCATCTAAGGATATAAAATATTAAATACTCTATTGTTTAAAAACTGACACCTGTATGACTTATTAAATTCCTTTTTTTACTTAAGGTTAACACAGTACACGGTTTCCTTTATTTTAAAATGCACGGTCACTTAAGAGAAAATCTTTTGGAGTCTGGATTCATATAACTGATCACATATCTTTCATTCCATTAGCTACAAAAAAGCAAGCCTGTGGTTTACCTTTGACAAGTAAAAAAAATGTCAGAGCATTGGTAAACTTTTTGTCTTTCTGCCAGTGTCATCTTAATTACTTTCTCTTTATGAGCTCCTTGATTAAACATTTCCTACATTGCTATTATGTATTTACTTATATAAGACACGATAAAATTATATGGAACAAGGTGAAATAAAACAATAAAACCATTTTAAAAAGATTAACCAATAAATGAAAAGCTTAAAACTTAATGAACATCATGAAAAGTCTTAATGAAATTTAACAATTAAAACTTTACCCTAAATAAAATATGGATAACTATTTGCTATGCAAACGCATAGTGTCTTCAAAGTAAAAAAGGCTTATTTCAAAACATTTAATTATAATAATATCTTATTTATAATTCACTTGGAAGGATTACTTTTAGGTAAAATCTATTTTCATTTTTACAATGTAACAAAGTTCTTTTTTTATGTTAGAAATAACTATTTCTAAGACTAAAATAAATTTAAAGGATGCTACAAAATGTTAGCTGTATAACAGGTCAAAGGAGCCCAGCCGGTGTGGCTCAGTGGATGAGCATGGACCCATGCACCAAAAGGTCGCCAGTTCATGCCCAGGTTGTGGGCCAGATTCCCAGTGGGGGGCATGCAGGACGCAGTCACTCGATGTTCTCTTTCATTGATGTTTTTTTCTCCCTCTCCCTTCCCCCTCTCTACAAATCAATAAAGGAAAACAAAAATTTTTTCATAGGTCAAAGGAGAAATCTGTGGAAATGAGATAGATGCTTAGATATGTGTATCACAGATATTGTCAAATACAGTATTTTCATTTTTTTTTGTAAAGTATATGTATAAATTAAACACTGAAACCTTAAACAAACAGTATTAGTTCACATAAAAATGGTGGGGGAACAAAGGTGCATTACTTACCCTTCTCCTCCCATTCTTGTTATCTTTAGGCGAAAGTCCACAGAATTAAGACTAGGAGGCTTCCATTTCAAAATATCATCACATCGACCAGGTTTATATTTCTAAAGTGAATTAAAATGATAATATTTAATAAGAAGCTAAGAAATAAACTATTGACTTATTAAATATAGTATAAATTACTTTTTAATAAGCAAAATTACTATTCTCCTCCAAGTATAATTTTTGTTGTCTTCAACTGATGAGCAAAGCTAGACATCAAACTTCTTATTGATGTACATGGCCTTTCCCCTTTTCCTGCCAAAGTATGTAGACCCTTGTTTGTGAAAGTACAAAAAAGAACAAAACTTGCTTTTCTTTCTAATTTTTCTAGGGCTTACAGTAAGTTTGATCATTTTTAAATTTTTTTGTTTTTTCATGTTTAATTTTACTGTGGGATAATTTATAATGAATAAAATCAACCAATGAAATTAGCAAAATGAATACAATTATGATGCTCGCTTCGGCAGCACATATACTAAAATTGGAACGATACAGAGATTAGCATGGCCCCTGCTCAAGGATGACATGCAAATTCATGAAGCGTTCCATATTTTTAAATATATAATTCATTAGGTTGACTACAATGTGGAGAAATGCTCTTCTGTTAGTAGAATGCAAAGACCTACCTAAGCTGCATAATAAAATTCTTTTACCAACTTTAAAAAAAAAAAAATACAATTATGTAACCATCACCAAAATATGATACACAGCATTTCAATCACCCAAAAGTTTCCTCCTGACATTTGCAAGCAATTCCCTACCACCAACTCTGGCAATAGTAACCTTCTTTCTATCACTATAGTTGTACCTTTTCTAGAATTCATAAGAAATTCTCAACAAAATTTGTAATTTATCTATGCTGGTACACATATTGGTAGTTTGTTCCTTGTTATTAGTAACTAGGATAACATTTTACGTACATACTACAAATTGTTTATGCATTTACAAGTGGATGGCTATCTGGGTTGTTCCCAGTTTTAGGTTATCATGAATAATGCTGCTCTGAACAATTGTGTATATGTCTTCCTAACTCTTGGGTAAATACCTAGGTATAGAATAGCTGGGTCACATAGTAAATGTATATTTAACTTCATAAGATACTGTCAAATTGTTTTCCAAAGTGGCTATAACACTTCCTATTCCCACGAGAAATATATGAGAGGTCGATTTGCTCCTCTCATCCACCCTAGGACTAGATATTGTCAGTCTTTCTAATTCTAAATTTTTAATTCTAAAGTGTATCTCATAACTTTCACTTGTATTTTTCTAATGATCAAAGGTGTTGAAGATCTTTTAATTTGCTTGTTTGCTATCTGTGTATCTTCTTCTTCTTTTTTCTTTAATCCTCACCAGAGAATATTTTTCCATTTATCTTCAGATAGAGTGGGAGGGAGAAAGGGAAGGAAGGGAAGGAGAGAGAGAGAGAAAAAGAGGGAGAGGAAGAGGGGGAACAAGAGAGAGAGAGAGAGACAGAGAGAGAGACAGAGAGAGAGAGAGAGATTGGCTGCCTACCCCAGGACCCAGACCAGGGCTGGGGATCGAATTGCAACTGAGGCGCATGCCCTTGACTGGAACTTAACCCATCACCCCATCCATGGGGTGATGCTCCAACCACTGAGCCAAAACGGCCAGGGCCCGTGTATCTTCTTTAGTGTAGAGTCTGTTTCAAATTTTTATCCTTGTTTTTACTGGGAAATCTTATTATTCACTTGCAAAAGTTGTTTATATATCTGGATAAACAGCCTTGGTTGGATATATGTACAACAAATATTTTCTACCAGTCTTTATCTTGCCTTTTCATTTTCATAACAATTTCTTTTGAAGAACAAATTTATTTTTAATTTTAAGGAAGTCAAAATCATTTTCTTCCAGCCATATTAAGGCATGTTTGAAAAATAAAAATTTAAGTTGTACAACATGTTTTGACATATGTATACATTATGAAATGATTACCACAATCAAATTAATGAACATATCCATCATCTCACACAGTTCTTTTTTTTTTTCATTTTGGTAGTAAGAACACTGAAGATCTACTCTCTTGGCAAATTTAAAGTGTACATTATCATTATTAATCATAGTCACCATGCTGTACATTAGGTCTCTAAAACTTACTCATAATTGAAAGTTTTTCCCCTTTGATCAACATCTTCCCTGTTCCACCATTCTCCAGACTCTCATAACCACCATTTATTCTCTGTTAATTCAACTTTTTTTTTTTTTTAAGATTCTGCATATATGTGAGATCATGCGATATTTTTCTTTTTGTGTCTGGCTTATTACACTTAGCATAATGTACTCCAGGTTCATCCATACTGTTGCAAAGTCAGGATTTCTTTTGTTGGGCTGAATAATATTCCACTGTATGTGTGTACCACATTTTCTTTATCCATTCATCCATCAACAGACACTTAGATTGTTTCCATATTTTGGCTACTCTAAATAATGGTACAACGTGGGAATACAGATACCTCTCCAACATACTGGTTTTATTTCTTTTGGATACATACCCAGAGGTGGGATTGCTGGATTATATCGTAGTTCTATTTTTTGAGGAAACTTCATAGCGTTTTCCATAGTAGCTGTATAAATTTACATTCCCATCAACACTGTACATGGTTCCCTTTGCTCTCCACATCCTCACCAACATTTATCTTTTTTTAAAATACGTTTTTATTGGTTTTTTTTACAGAGAGAGATAGAAACATCGATGTAAGAGAAAAACAATGATTGGCTGCCTCCTGCACACCCTTTACTGGGGATCAAGCCCGAAACCCAAGCATGTACCCTGACAGGGAATTGAACGGGGACCTCTCGGTTCATGGGACAAAGCTAAATCCACTGAGCCACAACAGCCCGGCACCAACATTTATCTTTTTTTCTTTTATCCTCACCCAAGGACATTTTTCCATTTTTGTTCAGATAGAGTGGGAGGGGCAGAGAGAAACATCGACATGAAAGGGACACATCAAGTGGCTGCCACCCGCATGACCCAACCAGGGCCGGGGACAAACTGCAACCAAGGTACATGCCCTTAGCGGGAACCAAACCCGGGTCTCTCCAGACCACAGGCTGATGCTCTAACCGCTGAGCCAAACCGGCCAGGGCCAACATTTATCTTTTAACTTGTTGAAGATGACCATCCTGACTGGTGTAAGGTGATATTTCAGTGTGTTTTTTATTTGCATTTCCCTGATGATTAGTGATGTTGAACATTTTTTCAAAATCATCAATTTAAAATTTTATAGTTAGTGCTTTCTGTGCCTTCTTTAAGGAATCTTTGCCTATTATTGAAATTTTCTATGTTTTCTTAGATAAACTGATTCGTTTTAGCTCATGTTTTAAGGTATGCAATCCATTTGAGGTTAACTTACTTACATGGTGTGAAGTAAGGGATTAGGTTCACTGTTTGACAGATGGATATCAAACTGACCCAGCATCAGTGGTTGAAAAGATTATCCTTTTCTCACTGAGTTGCCTTGGCACCTTTGTCAAAACCAATTATTTATAGATACAGAGATATTTCTATTCTCCTCAATGTGCTGCATTGATAAACATGCCCTTCCTCCTGCTAACAACACACTGTCTCGCTTACTGTAGCTTTGTAAGTTTTAAAACCAGGCTGTTTAAGTCCTCTAACTTCGTTCTTCTTTCTCCAAACTCTCTTATCTAATGTAGCATTTATATTTCTACATAAATGTTAAAATCAGCTTGTCAATTTCTATGAAAAATACATCTACTGGGATTTGGTTAGGATTGCACTGAATCAATAGGTCAACTGGGGGAGAAATAACACCTTAACATTGATTCTTCCAATTCATGAAAATCTATGCAAATCTATTTACTTAGGTCTTCCTAACTTACAGCAATGTTTGGTAATTTTCAATATACTAGTCTTACACAATATTTGTCAAATTAACTTCTACTAATTTAATATTTTGGGTGGTATTATCAACATAAAAAATCAATTGTGTTTCTATAAAACAGCAATGAACAATCCAAAAAAGAAATTATAAAAGCAATTCCATTCACAATAGCATCTAAAAACACAAAATACCTAGGAACTAATTTAACCAAGGAAGTGAATGATATGTATATTGAAAACTGCAAAACATTACTGAAACAGATAAAGACCTACAAATGGAAAGCTATCCCATGTTCATACATAGGAAGTGTGATGTGATTTATGATAAAAAATAATTATTTGGTCCTCCTCCCTCTTTCTGGCACAGAGCTTTTAAAACCCTTGGAATTCCCTAAATGATGAGAGCAATAAAGTTCTTTTGTTATGTTAATGAGGCAAGTTTGTGGTTAGAGGGTTGGAACTCTCAGTCCCTGACCTCAGGAAGGAAGGGATGGAGGGTGGATCAATGGTCAACAGGTATAATTTGATCAATCCTATGTAATGAAGCCTCTGTAAAAACTCAGTTCAAAGAGGTTCCAAGTTGGGCCACATGGAGATTGGGGAAAGCAGCGTGCCTGGAGAGGACATAGACGATCCATGCCCCTTCCTCATACCTTACCCTATGTATCTCTTCCATCTGGTGTTCCTGAGTTACATCCTTTTGTTTTTAACCCCTAATTTAGTAAGTAAAATGTTTCTCTGAGTTCTGTGATCCACTCTAGAAAACTAATCAAACCTTAGGTGGGAGCCATAGGAACCTCTGATTTATAGCCAGTCACTCAGAAGTACAAGTGACAACCTGGACTCATGACTGGCATCTCAAGTCCAAGGAGGAGGTGGTTAGAACCTCCGATCTACAGCCTGAGCTTGAGACTGATATCTGAAGTGGGAAGTGTGGGGCAGTCTTATAGGATTGAAACCTCAACCTATAGAATGTGATGCTATATCTGGGTAGTGTCAGAATGGAGTTGAATTGTAGGGCACTCGTTTGGTGTCAAAGAATTGCTTGTTGGTGGAGAGAAAAACCACCTCCCATGTTGGAATTGGTTCAGAACATCAATTTAATATTTCTAAGATGCCAATACTACCCAAAGCCATCCACAGATTCAATGCAATCCCTATCAAAATTCTAACAGCCTTTTTTCACAGAAATAGAAA